TTTTTTTTTCTTAGGTTTCCTGATACATATGTATGGACTTTTTCTTGTTTTTCTTTCATTAAATTAATCTATTATCGAACCTATGTTGTATTTTTATTTTCATAATGATCAGATTTTTTTTTTTTTTAGACGTCTGTTCTATGTCAATCTTGTAAAATTCTATTGCAAGCACTTGTGTTTGAGGTTCTTTTTTTTTATTGATATTTTTTTTTTTTTTGATCACAAATGAAGATGTTTATAATTTATTCCAATTGTCAAGAAAATATTCGTACTCCATTTCATTTTTTTTTTTAGCTTTTCTAAGACTGCCAAGAATTTATTGAGTGTAAAGTTTAGGTTTATTGTCCATCATTATTATATTGGTATGTTATGAGTATAATTGATTATAAAAACCATAGGATTAATCATATTTTAATGCCTGTCATATTTTTATCCTTCCCATGTACAAGTCTTCAACTCTGTTATCTGATGCCGCACAGATTACATCTCTAGCTTTACTGTGATTGTTTGTCATCAACAGTCATAGTTTGTTTGTTTTTTTACGTAAAACAACTTTATTTCCCATTTTATTACCAGAATGTTATTTGGTTTGTTTCATCTCGGATTTGTTGATTTCATGGTGAATACTTTTGTTTATACATTTGACTTCCTTTCCAAAACCGTAAGCCTTTCACTGTTTTTGATCGTTGTAATCATATTATTTGGGGGTGTTTAAAATGTTATTTTAAAATTCTTTCTTGTACGATTATTTTTAAATTTTCCTGAATTTCTACCTAAGTGTGGTAATTTTTATTAATTTCTACAATTCGTTTTATCATGAAATGGATCAATTTCAGGTCAAGAACCCTACTAGTATTATAACTTTTCTGAAATCATCCAATCAACAGGATTATATTAATATCTTCGTAAAACATAAAAAATCATGGTAATTGCAAATTATTGATTAAAAAGTTGAAAATGACAGCTTTTTTAATGCATGTCTCATGCTTTTGGGTTTATTGCATGGGTCAATTTTTCCAGTTTGTGAGTTTGATAATAGATTTTATTTGTGTAACCAATTATGCGCATAATTAAGTTGTGAATCATAGTTAAAGCTTTATCATGTTTTGGACATCTCACAAATAGTGTCATCTTTCATTAATCCTTTGAACGTCAAAGACAACCTTTGGTACCATCAGTAATTGAAACCTATGTAATTGTTTTCATTATTTTTTTTTATTTTGATTAAAACCGATAGCTATTAGGAAATAATGCCCATTTGGTTCAAATTTATCCAAAAAGAATACCAAAATAGCCCGAAAAAAACAAATATTTCACCAAAATTTTGTGGCAATCAAAGGGTTTAAGATGTCAATAAAGAACAGAAGTGTAAACTATTGAATTATGCAAATCAACATACCTGGTAAGATGACAGCCTGATATTAACAACATTTATAATATATTCGACTTGTAAAAAAAAAAGAGTTGCCAAGATTTCTTGGTCTGTGAAATAATTGTTTTAATACATAATAAGTTTTCATCATTTTCTCTTATTGTATGACTAGTCAGCTGCTGTTTTCTTCATCACTAAAATAAAAAAAAATACATGAACCAGGTGGGTTGGATGCTGTCACTATTTTTTATTGTAATAATTAATGTGTACTCTTTGTTTTACTGTGTTTTTAGCTAATCTAGATTTTGCTGGGTTGTTATTTTTTAGTTGCAATATTTTTTTTTAAATTTAATAATTATGTCGGGCCTAGGAAGAAGTAGATTGGGCATCTTTTCTCAAGGAATGTACCTCTGATTCCAGGGTTTTGATCGTGATAACAAAAAGAAAATCCCACATTTGGGGGGGGGGGGGAGACATACTTTATTCTGTGTTGTAATTTTTTTTATAATGCAAAATGTCTTTCTCTGTATTATAAATTTAGTAAATTGTTTTTTTGTTTTTTTTTTCCTTTTAAAAATAATTTTAAAGTTAATACATCATCATCCAAATACAGAAAATCACCCTTGCGGCGTAGTGTTTTTTTTTCAACTGTATTTATTATGAAAACAGTTTTGTTTTTTTAATTTTCTGTTATTTCCATTATTTTTTTAAATGATTCCATATCCAGTATTAAATGAAAAGGGGACTTTAAAATGATCTGTTGTATATTGTGGGTCCTTCATTTGAATTTTTCCAAAAATAATGATTTTTTTTTTTTATAGCTTTCACCTGGCCCTTTCCATGCAGCCAATTTTTTTCCAAATCTGTAAATTAGGGACTTTTAGTTGTTATGCGCTCCCTTTAAATAATGTAACTGAAACAATACAGAGATTAGATGTTCCCTTCCATTTTTTTTGTCTCTTCAGAAGTGTTTTTAATTATCTGTGTGTGTATGGAAATCGTTTTGTCGCATTTGCCACTTTCTTCAAATTCAACTCTTTGTTTACCACTGTTTTTCACCTGTAGATACTCTGAATCAGTCGAGTATGGATACCACATTGTTTTGTGGATTTTTAATATTTAATAAGAGAACTCTGCAGTCAGCTGTTGTGAAACCTTCATCCAGCCTTACGTTTCAATGGGGAAACAGTCATGGCCTCCAGGACTGTCCCTGTTTGCGGGAAGGAGTGTTGAGGCTGCTAACATGCAAATAAATTAATCTATCTACAAGAAATTACTTTTGAACGAGTCTTTTTTTGTGTGTGTGTGTATTTCTTCATTCTGAAAGTTGTAAATTTCTTGTGAAGCTGTGTGTAATGAGAGTGGATCAGGTGCAAAAGGTGTGACTGTGAATCATTAGGCTTGTGTACGTGAATATAGACACCTCGCAAGGAATTGTAATCCACAAAAATGCATGATTTTGAGTTCTCTTGGCAACTCTGTGATAAGACCACTGGAGACCATGTACTGGCTGCAGGGTAATAGAAATTGCACAACATTTCATTTCTTGCTACTTTAAGAACTTTTATTGCTGGCAGCACTGGCTATCACATGTTTTTTTCACAGGGCAGAGGGTATGCAACAAACCTTGCTGTATGTAGACTTAGCTGTCCCTCCTTATGACTAGAGTTTACTGTAGAATACTTTATTTTCGCTTGGAATTTATTTTCGCTATTTTCACTGAAGGGGTGATTCCGTGAAAATAAAATCCAGCGAATGTACTTTTTTTTCCTATATTTCACATTAAACTCATCAAAAATCAGTGAAAATAAATTCCAAGCAAAACGCCCAAAAAGCCTTTTCAGCGAAAATTAATTCCAGCGAAAATAAAGTATTCCGCAGTATTATGTATTGTAAAAATGCATCAGGATGTCTAACTACGATTTATTATCATTGCAGGGTACATGAATATTTGTAGGATTATGAAAAAATTCTAGTTTTTAAAATAAGTTTGTTTTTTTGATATTTAAATTGATGTATATAAAGAACCACTCATTGGATTTTGATGAATTTTGGTACATGGATGCTCTGGACTAATGTGTAGATTTGATTAGTTTTGGGTAAAAATCATTGCTTATTAATTACCTTAATTGCTAATTTAATAATGATTATTCAATTTTGAACTTTTTTTTTCAAGTACTAATCATCACATTTCAATGAAACTTGGTACGTAGATGTCATAGGACAATGAATGGACCTGATCAGTTGTGGCTTAAAATATGTGTATATTAATTGCCTAATTTGCATAATTAACCAATTTTAAGCTTTCACACTGATATCTTTTGTACTAATTATTCCATTTCAATGAAACTTGGTACATAGATGCTCTAGGACAACGCACAGACCTCAGTTTTGAGTTAAAACCTGTTTAAATTTATTCCCTAATTAGCATAATAATTCATACTTTTTTGGTTCTTATCACTTTTCAATGAAACTTGGCACATAGATGGTCTGTGACATTGCCTAGACCTCATTAGTTTTACACTATATAAATTAGTTTTCAGCTTTTCCATCAATATTTTAAGTATGAATAAGTTTTAAGTAATTTCAGCACACACTGGTTCTTGAACATGCATTAATCTAAATGATTTCTTACATAAATGTAATCTATTTATTGAAAAATTGCGTGATAATGATATTGAAAAGAACATGACAATCGTATCTCACATTTACATGAATCAATGCCTAATAATGAAGGGCAAACAATATTCACGACTACATTCAACCCTTATATACAAGGGTCTAAGCTCAAAAGAGCCCTATTAAAAAACCGAGACTTAATTCGCAATGATCAGTTACTCAGTAACATTTTTCCAAATCCTCCCCTTATTGCATTTCCTAGAAATATTAACTTGAAAGATAAACTTACAAGTTTTACTCAACGTACTGACAAACTTGTGAAAAACGACACACCAAACGATGAAGAATTTCTTTATATATTACTTTATATTATATAATGAAAGTAATAACGTTGAACATTCTGAAAGCTAAATAAATCGAACGATTCGTCAAGTACTGTTCAGACTGATGAAGGGTTCAACACAGAACCCGAAAGAGCACCATCACACTAGTGAATAATCCAATTACGGATATATTTGAGTGCTGTATCGACATAGACTTTCTTTGTATTCATATTTCAATAATTTATCAGTGTTTACTTCTATCGGGATCACACCTGAAATATTCTAACATGGAATAATACATCTGTTGCATATTTAGTTAGCTAATGCAATACTGCCCTCATTCGGTGAGATGTTCGGCAATCCACCACCCCCATTGATAACAAATGAATTGTTAGAGACAGTAATACAGCAGAAAGTCATTGTGATAGAGCTGGTAAATAACATCGTTGATGAAATTGTTGAGGGATCAATAAAAATCATTCTTTAAAAATTTATTTTGTCTTGATTTTTTTCAGGGGCTCTGAAAGTTTCAGATTTTTTTTACGTACATATAGTGTAGGATTTTTTTTTCAAGCATTTTCATAGAATTTTTCCCCCCACAAAATCCCCCCCGGGATATCAAATGGTCTGCCCCATAGTATCAGGGGCCACGTTAAAACTATTAACGACTTTGGTGTCCCGCCCTCAGTCTACTAATTTGTTTATTGGTTGGCACCAAAAATGCTCATTCATACCTCCCCTGGTTAGCTCCTCCACGTTTTTTTTTTACTATTATTCATCTGGTTCCCTCTTCGCCGTTGAGGGCGCTGCTTATTTGTGGGCAATCGCGTTTGTAAGTTTTTATTTACTGATCAGATAGAAGATGAGCATTTTGTGTCTGGGACCACAAACTGAAGAAACATATTCATAGAAGTACCATATGCATCTCCTAAATATCGATGACTCTTGCAATTTTTTAGAATTTTGTGTATTTTGTTTCATTGGTGTGCGTTGCATTTATTCAAATTGTGTAAAGTGAAAACAAAAAACATGTCAAGCTAGTGCAATAGATAAAATCTAAATTTGATGGGTTGGCGCTATATTATGCACTCTTTAGAGGGACTGTGGTTGAACATAGTGGGACCTTGATCGGGTTTAAAATCATGGTAGGTTGAAATATAACAATCAAAGAATACAGTTCCGGGTCCAGCATTCAGACATAATTGGACCTATCAAATTTAAACTTCACACAGAAAATATCGATTAAATGCACGTGCTTGTTCGTGAACATCGAATCCAAAATGGTCGACCGGCGGTCATGTCGTTCAAACATGGCTGGGCATATCATATTTGAAACTTGGCACATTACATGCAAGTTATACATCTTGCCTCTGACTACTTGGTCGAGCGACTGTATACACTAAATTTCGTCAGCACATATTGAAAATCAGTCATCTGTATATGGATTGGGGCAGTGGGTTTTGCAAGTTTGATAAATTTTGTGGTCCAGCTCCTGGTATGGAGCACATAATGGAGCTTTGACTTTTTATCTTGTTGGTTAAATTTTGCATCCCCCGAAGGGTACAAAGAATTTACCCTATACTTGAAATAGTGTTCAAAATCTACAATGAATTCTCGGGCACTTTGTCGACCAACCAAAACACTCACTTCGGGGGGGGGGGGGACACATTCAGAAATATATAACAGCACATTACAACTCGTTCATATTGCGAAATTGTTTATTTTTTTTAAATTCATCGTGGTACATAGTTACTAGTATTCATAGCTTATGGCGTGTAAGAGCAACACATGCTGACAGATGAACTATTTGTTAATGTTAACACCTTGTTCAGTTACGCTCTCGGTATACAACTTTGATATAGAAATATTGTAGACAAATTCCATTAAGTATTTAAAAAAAAAATACATTAACTATAACAAAATGTACATCATACTATATACATTTACAAGAACTGATCACACTGCAGAAATAAACTACATTATTTGTATATTGCATTAGTAATTCAGGGTTTGCGGAATCCACAGTCGGCACAATCTGTACCAAATTCGCAATGGTCGTAAACGCTACCGGGACCGCCATCGTCACAGACTCCGTTATAATCCCAAGTACAATCATTAGTGCACACTACAGGCCTGGCACCACAATCTCCACAATCACTTCCATAATGGCACAAGCTCAGACAGCTCTCTGTAGCACCATCGTCGCATATACCATCGTACGCCCATACACATTCGTTAGAGCATACGGCTGGTCGTGGTCCACAGTCTGCGCAATCCGTGCCGTACTCGCAGTCTTTCATTGTACTTCCTGGTCCGCCATCGTTACACACGCCGTTATCACTATGAACACAGTACATGGTACATTTCTCAAATGAAGTACACTCGTCTTGAGTAGGGGGAAAAAATGAAATTGTTAATATGTTGATTACATTGTAAAGAACACCTGCAATTATGATTTTAGAAAATTAAATTTGATCTCACATATTGCCAAGTAAAGAGTATTGACGAAAAGTATTCTGGGATCTTCGTCCGACTTTAGCGGTAAAAAAAATACACTTGACGAATAATCCAGAGAATTTGGCAAGAATTCGGCCTTCTCAATCTTCTTGACGATACAATTTGTGGGGAACAACAAAACAAAACAAAAGCTATCGTTCAATATTTTCGAATTACTTACCGATTACGCCTTTCAATGTTTCGACGAATCCCTCCACCATATCACAGTGTAATGAATTAGCCTGTACCAAATCAGCGTCATTTTCTGGTTTAGCCCCTTCACTGGAAGAAGAGCTTGATTGAGTAGTGTGTACAGGTTCGTTCCCTTCACCAGATAGCACTTTCTCAGTAGCAGTTATGTCTACCTCCCCAACGCCGGCAATACCAATCGTAATTGCATCTTCAGAGGGCATTTCTTCTACAGTGCCTGTCATTTCGTCAACATCATTTGGCGAATTCGTTGTACCTACCTCCCCAACGTCGGCAACACCAATCGTAATTGCATTTTCATCAGAGGGCATTTCTTCTACAGTTGCCGTTATTTCGTCAACGTTAGGCGAAACAGTAGTGCCCAGCTCCTCAACGTCGGCAATACCAATCGTAATTGCATCTTCACCAGAGGGCATTTCTTCTACAGTTGCCGTTATTTCGTCAACATTAGGCGAAACAGTAGTGCCCAGCTCCTCAACGTCGGCAATACCAATCGTAATTGCATCTTCATCCGAGGGCATTTCTTCTACAGTTGCCGTTATTTCGTCAACATTAGGCGAATTCGTAGTGTCCACCTCCTCAACGTCGGCAATACCAATCGTAATTGCATCTTCATCCGAGGGCATTTCTTCTACAGTGCCTGTTATTTCGTAAACATCATTAGGCGAAACAGTAGTGCCCAGCTCCCAAACACCGACAATACCAACTGTACTAGTTGCATTTGAACGATCTGCCTCTCCAATGTCGGCATCCTCTGTAGTTGCGATATGCGCTTCAGGATTTGCTAAAGGTTTCTTGGGAATAGATTCACCATTCTGGGAGTTAGTTTTAGATTTCGATGCATCTGCGCCAGATTGTTTGTTTTTTGTCTTTGCTTTGAACTCAAATTGCCGATGCTCATGCCCGTGCCGAATCTTCCAGCGTTGTAGTATTTCTTTTGGAGACGCTTCCACCATAAACAACTCCAAGGCAACCATTGCCACAATTAACAGACAGGGACGCATCATCTGAAAACAAGGAAATGCAGTTACAAGAATGGAAAAAATAATAATTGGGTTTGTCAAAATACTTTCGAGCAGAACTAGACATCAGAAAACCAGGGGGGGGGGGGGAACTGTGCATTGCAACTCCTGAAACTTACCGTGACGGATGATGGCTCTGGAGCTGAATGTAAGCACGGACCTTCTTCAACGAAATGCGACTAAATTGGTGGTGGCGTGGGCATTACAACTTTATACTGTCATTCAGAAAATAGAATATGCCGCATAAATTACCCAGACTTGTTTTGATTGGTCATTGAAATTTACCACCTGAAATAACAACCAATCCAGTGCAAAGTAACATACTAAATTCATGAACATAGTCTATATGTCAGGTGGATTGGTGTGGACATTGATGCAAGCTGGCATGGACACGTTGCGTCGAATTAGCGGAGGCGAAATACTACTTGCCAAAATACTACTTTTATACTGTAACTATATGGTGACAGAGAGACGCATTCCATCTATATCAATTGGCAGAATAATTCACCGACGACTACTTTGTGCATGAACATTGTGCTTTCCTATTACAGTACTAGTCCCCGCAACCAAATTGGTGTGGTCATACGTCTGAAATAACACGCCTGCCGGGATACTCGCGGGTTTCATACAGCTACGGTATTTGTTCTCGTGTTTTATTATTTCTGGATATGTATTAATTTTGAACGAACACTGAATGGGATTCACACTTATTGTATTAGGTGATGCGTGTTGATGTAACACAGTGGCCATCGACAGTGTCCGGACATCGTATATGGATTTGAGCACACATGTTGGTCAAATAGTTCTCAATGAAACATGCCAGGTCACGAATAGAAGTTTCCTTAGTATAGCCCAACCAATACAGTCAGCTCAATTTCTATCAGTGTCATTCCGCCAGGTATGTGGGTACATTGGGCATACTATGTTCTACACACCTGGAAATATAACCAACTTCCCACGAAATTATAGGAGTCCGACCAGGCTATTGTCACAGCATAGACCTTGGGTCTATGACCACATGGAATAGGGGGAAACTGTATTAAAAAAAAACATTGAACGGGTAGTTTGTCTTTTATCCAACCTCTGTGTATTGACTGTTCTTCCTGTTAATTACCTTTCCCGCTTTGTACAGTGGAATGATTCGTTTATTAATGACCTTCATGGATGTACTTTTTCAAAAATTAGTCCGTCCGATATTAGTCTATAGCAGTCATGTTTTGGGAACGAAAGCCCATGCCAATCAAAGGTTGAGGAGGTGCATCTTGGTTTCCTCAGATTTATACTAGAGAGTACCAAAAAAATACACCCGAAATGGGTATACATGGCAAACTACTAAGTATATATAGGCAGATTCCCAGTCGATGTTTTTATTAAAAATAATTAACTAAATATTATAACCCAGCCATAAATGCGTCAAATGCATTTTTAAATAAACAACGCAATTTCAAACTGGTATAACACAATAAAGTCTAATTTGAAGAAAACAAACCTACCACGAATTATAGACAAAAAAGTACAATTTCAAAATCTGGTGCAAGTTTAATAGAATTAAAAAATGTAAAAAGCAGAAACCTGGTATGGAAAACTACGTTACGTTATCAAATGCAGAACTTTGTGAATGTCTCGCAAGATTTTGACTCCGTAATCATCATTTACAAATTGAAAAGGGTAGACACACCAGACCAAAAACCCCAGAAGAAAAACAAAATGTGCGAGGTATGTTCGAAGAATGAAGCGGAGGACGAAGAGCGCTTCATAATTTTAAGAGACATCAACACCCCTTCCAAAATAACTTTTTTTTATTTATCCTTTTGCTTATTAGTGTTATAGCATGAATTCTGTATTTTATAATTGTATTTTTGGCAATAATTATTGTTCGTATATTATTTACTTTTATTAGTGTGCATGTTTTCTATGTGTAACCATTTTAATTCTTTCCCGAAAAGTTTTTATGAGTAATTATAAATTGGTAATTGCATAATTATTCACTCTGTAAACTAGTTTTATTTCCACTGTACACTAGATATTGACAAAACAATTTACTGTCAGTAACACAGAAATGAATACGACATAAGCCAGGCTGGGGATACCTAAGCATGGCACTACAAATTGCTCGTACTTATCTCAAACTTATTTAAATTTGAAAAGGACACTATTAAATTCCTGAGGAATTTGTTTTTTCAAAAGTACGTTTTGCAATTTTGGAAATATGTGTTAGAATGCATGAAGCATGTTCACAGCTAGCAGCGTACTAGTGATATTCAAACTTTTATCAACTAGTACAGTAGTTGTAGTACAAATAACACGATTGTGTTATCGCAGGCATTTTACTTGTCAATGTGCGACTCTTGAATGAAAATTTAACAAAAAAAAACAAAATTGCCGAAATTAATTCTCTGACATGATGATGGCGCTCTTTCTCTTGACAGCTCACCCTGATCCCACAGCGTTGTCAGAATGAGCGTTATTCACATTCGATCGCTGGCCGTCCACTCAAACACCATCATGGATCCTGATATAACCAAACTGGGTGGACACGTAAGACTGAATACATGGAATGGACATGCGTACACCATCAATAAAGTTGCTGTGCATTCACCCAGTTTGCTATAATATCACCCTCAGTGCCTAATCCGGCATGGCAGTGTTAGAGGGGCAGCCAGCGACCGGATGCGAATAACTCGACATATTCAAACTAAAATACAAATACATGTAAATATTATATAAAGGGTCATAAAAAAAATGGAGCCTCATACCTACATCGGATTTTAATCTGATTGCGCGTTTTGCAAACTATCCGAAGGTGTGACATTACTTGTAGATGAAAGCCGTAAAATCAATGAGAAAAAGTTGGGATGATCATTCTTCTTATACCGTCATACCACAGATTCCAACGCCGAACATCTGTCCCCATTTATGAAAGAGCATTTGATTTAAAGAATGTTTTTGGAATCTGAATAACGTTTTGTAGAGACCATATACTAGTAGTTATGTAATCTAAGACTCGAAAACCGACGCGTCAGCCAAACAAGAAATTACGCATCACTCGCGAATTGGCAAGTGTTTTTAATTACGTTGTCTAAAAGTTTCTGAACTGTTTTGTGATTGATGTGGACTTCATACTGTCACGATCTTTTCTTGCAATTTGATCTGCGTAATAAGTGGGCTGTCAAAAGTTTGCGACCACGTATTTTTTAATGTGATGTCGTAATTATGACAATCATGATAATTCGAATCACCCTCTTAATTGTTGCTGTGTTTTGCTCTCATTTATTTTATCATCCAATCAAACGCCGCCATTCACGCACTTTTCCTCGCCAGGATGTCAATTCACTTGCACGTGGCAATTATTTAGTAACTGTGATTTACGAATTATCGACTCATTATATACATATATCTGTTCTATTTTTATAGAAGAACCTTCTCAAATAAAAGAAATTCTAAAATTTAAAAATATAAGAGGTAGTCACTAAACCATGTACTTTCACACTCAAGCAAGAGAATAGACATGTTGGTGAACTAACCTTACACTGTGAGTGTTTTATTGTTTACACTCTGTAAAATACCAGTTTTTTTCACAAATAAAAAAAAAAAAAAAAAGAACTGCAGACCACACTTCTTCATATTTTTGAGTGGGCCAGCCATGTTTCCACATACAAAAATACACATATTTCTATTTAATTTATTTTATTTAAAAAAAATATATATTTTAGAAGCATAACAATACAACGATTAGATTTGGTGTCACAGTTTGCTCCCAATTCATACTGGAATATTGCCAGCAATAATTAATAAAGCTTGTTCAGAAAACCATTTATTCCCGACATCATATTCAATGGCTAGTTCTCAGGATCTACAACAGTAAATAAACAGAAATCATTTTGATGCGTGTTTTTTTGACGACACTGCCATATCGCACAGATATTCAACACCGCCATATCGAATTTGGATTTGGACCATACCATTTCAAGCTGCAGGGTGTCTAAACAATGACTCAACAAAAAATAAACTCGTCTTCCACCCACCACACAAATTTTAGCCACAATTGAACAACCAAGAAAGCAACAAATATCAGACTGCATCTTGAAAACAACGAGATACCACATTACAACCAGTCATCGCAAAAATGAAATCCTCCACCCCTCCCAATACACCCTACAGCATTAATGGTTCCTATACTCATTTATACAACAAGCTTAGCCAATAGATGCACCTGACCCATCAAACTTTTGACCAACCACTCATTCTAAATATTGTTGAGTGAGGACGCTATTTACTAATGAGAGGAATCTTTTAAACAGATATATATATTTGTTATCATTTTTCAATTTCATTGATCGCTATAATTCTATGTTTAGAATGTTAAAACATTTTCTCTTTTATATTAATTTTGAATCTTTTTTACATAGACTATCGATGGAATACATCAGTGTATGAACATATCCAGTAACCTGACAAATAACTAGAAGACAAGCTAGACGTCAAACTCGAAATAGTACATAGAGATCGTGGAGAGTTCCGTGACAATAAATGTCGGCACTGCAGCCGACTTCATCGACCACAATACAGTGACTCTGATTGTGCAGTACACGGCGGTTGATTGCAGCGACCAGCTACGCCAGAAGGGACATCTTTCGTATCTAACTCAACCCTATACGATAAACTTGATAATATGTGGTCTTTATGGTCCACTCTTCCTCGAGAAACAAGTACATGAGTGGCAATTTGGTCAAAGACGAGAAAATTGAATAATAAATGTGCCTTGTATACATTATCGGCATAACCAGCAAGTCCCCCTTCATACGTCACAAGGGGTATTTGAGTATGCAAATGAGAAGTTAATGAGAAGCCTCGTTTTAAAATGCGTAAAAATAAAATTGGCGTAGTAATAAATGATTTTTTGGCCAGAAAATAGGCATTTCACAGGCACTTTAACTGCCTGTTTAGTAGAATCCGAGTGCTTAAATGCATAAAAACAAAATAAATGCTACTTATACCGTATGAGGACAGGTACTACGAGATCTTTTTAAAAATTGTGTTGATGACCATCGTATTGGAATGAAGTGTTATGTTACCTGTGTGCGCAGGTCATATTTGGCATATTTAGTTTGATCCCTGAAGATAATGAATGACCTGGGCAATTAGAAAGAATGAAATGTGCGTTATTAGATTCCATTTATTGTTTACAAGAGTTTGAGATGTAAAATATACTAATACGCGCCTAGGATAAGAACTTGTGAACATTGTTTATAACAAACCGCGGGATTCGGAACCAACTAGAATAGTAAAGTCGGGACTTCTTTTTTGTTTTACAAACAAAATATAATTGTCAATTTAGCCTTTTTAACGTGATCGCGAAAACTAGCGTGACTGCGAAGAAATCTTTTCATCCCAAAGATTTCTATAGCGGTCAGGTTAGTTTTCGCGATCACGCTAAAAAGACTAAAAGAACAATTAATTATTTCTTTTTGTAAAACAAACAAGGTACCAACCAACGATGAAATTACTTTCCGGCGCAGAGGGCGCAACTCAACCAGCATGCTTCGCGGTTCGGTCTTCCTCTCAGCTGATGTCCTGTCAACAAAGACAGTTTAGCATGGATGTAAGTACATCCATGGTATGAGCAAGTACACATGTCAACTCTCGAAATGGCGAGGATCCATCTGAAGAAGGTTGTCATTGTCTTCGTTGTACTGTTTTTTATAACGCCAGTGATTCTTGTTATCGCGTATGGTAAGTTACCGCCGGCAGTGTCAAGTTTCAATGGCTGACACATCACCACTTTTTCGTTTTCATGGATTTCGTATCACGTACGTACATCAACCGATTTTCAAATGTTCTTTGATTAATGAATGACGTAATGGGGTCCACTACACGGGAAATGACTGCCTGAATACTGTAAAAGTGTGCAATGGGCTGATCTCAAAGTTTGACACCACAGACCACGGGCGCTCGCAACAGGATTTATAGACTTGGATCTTTATTTCTATACTAGTACATAACCTTACCCAAGCCTACCCTTAACCATAAATCCTGTTGCAAGCGCCCGTGCCACAGACCATGGTCTCCCGTGGCCCAGTTGCGCATGTCCCAGGGTGATGTTTTGTTGTTCATGTTAATTTCAATATTGACCCCCCCCCCCCCGCCACTGATATTTAGAAAATTGTAGACCACCACTTTTCGAAGCAGTCATTTTTGAAAAAAATGTGGTAAAACAAATATGCAAATTGGATAATTAACATGATAATGGGATTAACAATAAACACTTTCCCCTGCACTTTCCCATAGTTATTACCAAGTTTAGTCAGTTTGAATTTGGCACATTTAGATCAATAACACAAGTTTGTTTACTTTAAATACATATTTTTCCATGCATTCATTTTTTGTAGGTTTATTTTTTCAGGATTATGAGAAACATTATTACAGTCAGAAGGCAGAATAATCAAATAGGCTAATATACTATATACATGGGTTATGCTTTTTTTTTTAACGTTTAATCATTTTTTAATCAGTTTAGAAACTAGCTTCACTTGGCCCACAATAAATTTGGATAGTTGCTAATGATAAATTCTTGTTCCAATGTAGTTACACCAGGGGTTTTTCTAGAAAAAAACTGCAAGAGGGAGCAATTCAGCGGCGTTACCAAGTGGGGGAGATACGGCTCTCCCTACCAGCTCAGTCTGAGACGGTCCATTACGACCTGAGGGCAGAGTTGCTTGAGTGCATTATTGTGTGCGCCCAGGACTCTTTTGATAAATCTAAGTCAAAATGGAGCATTCTATGGCTTCCTTGGTGCCAAAATTACTATCAGACAGGTCACAGTTGAACACTGTGACCACATGTGATCCCTGGTCAATCCGAATTTCATGGTTGCCAGAGGATCTGTTCCCCAGGGTAAGAGGGCACATGGCCAAGACATGAGGGCGCTGCGCCCCTGTTTCCTTGTTTAAAAAAAATCCCTGTTACACCGTTAAATATGTAACATTGATACTAAACTAAACACTGATTTCGCCTGCAATTGGCATTTTTGTTTATTTCCAGGTGTTAATTGTCGAAATTTCATATCACCTCTCAATGAAGAAGACTACAGAGATGCAATTGCGAAAAAGGAATCACCTCTGAAAATGAAAGAAGATGAACTCAAAAAATATGAGGAGAGACTCAACACATTATCTGTGGCACTGAGGCGTCAATTTCCAAATGCAGTAGAGTACATTTTACAAATATTAGACGATAATATTCCCACAATCTATGCAATCACACCAACACACACACGGCATGTGCAGAAAGCCGAGCTTGTGAGACTCACAAATACGTTTCTTCATGTTAAAAACTTTCACTGGATTCTTGTAGAGGATTCAGAGTATAGGACACCGCTGGTGACAAACTTTCTTGCACAGAGCGGGCTACGATACACTCATTTAAACACGGCAACGCCAAAAAATTATAAAATGAAGGAGAACGACCCGCATTGGCTGAAACCTAGAGGTGTTGAACAGAGGAACTTGGCATTAGATTGGTTGAGGGAGAATATAGACATTGCTACGAATTCAGGTGTTGTCTACTTCGCTGATGATGATAATACTTATAGTCTACAGCTTTTTGAAGAGGTAAGATTGATTTGGAATGTACCCGGTACCATTTTTTTTGTGGAGAAATTATTTTTGATAATTTTATTTTAGCTTCGCTGTCATTAAATATACATGATTGTCCATTGTCCATCAACAATCTTGAAAACCACCAGACCAATAATTTGATATGTAGGTACCTTGGATGGATCTTTGTAAAATTTGTTGAGTTCACGACAATAACTTCAGTTCTCTATTTTTAGCCTATTTTCGATTTCTTCTTAAATATTACTTAATTGCTTTGATTTTACTCCATGAAGATATTTTCTATTCTTTTGGTAAAAATTAGTGTACCATCTTTTTGCAAACCTGCTCATTTAACCCCAATTATTATTCAGTATGTGTATATCTTAGTAATTTAAAAGATGATTTACATGGTTAGTGCGGTGGTTTGTGAGGGGACTCGTAGTTCCATGATATTTTGCAAGACTGGGGGCAAATCATAACTGATTGTACAATTAGGAAATGTTTTGTTTTGCCTTTTCTCAGATGAGGTTTACTGAAAAAGTTTCAGTCTGGCCGGTTGGCATCACAGGAGGCTTAAAATTTGAACGTCCGATCGTTGGAGAAGACGGTAAAGTGAAAGGTTGGTATGCTGCTTGGAGGCCACAAAGACCATTTGCAATGGACATGGCTGGATTTGCTCTTAATTTAAACCTGCTGAAGAAGTATCCCAATGCTCGGTTTGACATCACTGCCAAAAGAGGTTATCTGGAGTCATCTTTTCTAACACAGTTGGTTACTCTCAATGAGCTAGAACCGAGAGCTGAATTGTGTACAAAGGTGAGGTTTGCCACATTCACACACTGGC